AGTGGTCTCAGCTGGTGGGGCGGGGCGGGGCGCCTTTGGGGCACGGGACGCAGTGCATCGGCATTGTCTCGAGCCAGACCGCCGCGCCGCGCCCCGCCGCGCCCCGCCGCCCCGCGCCCCGAACCGTCCACCAGGTCTAGGTCTAGGATACAATGGTGTTAGGTAATGTTTGCCTTTCCTACACAATGCTGCTGCCGTTTTGCGTGTCGGCAACTGGAGTAAAACGTAACTTGTCATAACTCTTTTCGAAGATGGGTGGTGCAGTAGTACGTGGCCAGCAAAAAGAAAAATACAACGTGAATTTCAGCATTTTTGATAGAATCCCTCAAAAGAGCAGCGAAAGGGCAACAAAAAAAATAATGAAAAGTGTTGTGCGAGGTGGACACACGCACACACACGCACACATGTAAACAGTCGAAACAAAAGTCCCTCCTAGTGGTTGTTGTTGTTTCTTTGTTGCTCGCAGTCGCCGTCAAGTCGCATTGGTGAATCCGCGCCTGAGCCCCGCCCGCCCCGCCCCGCCCCGCCACCGCACGCCCGAGATTCGATGCATATTTTCCAGGTACGCAGAGGGAAAGAGAGAGAGAAAGAGAGAGATAATGACGACAGTTTGGTATGCAAAGCCAGCCCCCCCCCCTCTCTCTCTCTCTTTTCCCCCTCCGCAGAGTCGATGCAGTGTCGGTCCCCCCGACCTTGGACTGCATCCGAGAACTGCCAAACTCAATTTATTACACCTTGCATCTTTCGGTCACAAGTCAGGAGGGAAGGCAATGCGAGAGAGGAAAGGGGGGGGGGGGGCGCCACCGCTCCTTCCTATCGAAAACGTAAACGAACTGTCAATGCATGTGCCCGACGAGGCTCCAGGCTCCAGACTGCTCCCAGCTCCAAGCCCCAGGCTCCAGGGCGCACCGTCCAGCTTGTCCGAGGCGCGAATCCCGGAGAGGCGACATGCACGGCAGCCGGAGCCACGGGCAGGCCGTCGGGGGCGTGCGAGAGAGACGGAGCGACGCAGGCGCCGTTCAGAATCGGCCACCGACCCGACACTTGGCAAAAAGAGGACCGCCGTGTCTCCGTACTTAGTCTTGCCATTCCCAAGACATAGAGAGCCAGACGGACGGACGGAAAGCAGACAGACAGGCGGACGGACAGGCAGACAGACACAGACAGAAGGACAGGCAGGTCCAGCAGCATCCTGAAGAGCGCCTCTGCAACATAATTACCAGCTCCCTTCATACATTACAGGCGAGGGCTGCAACAGCAGCCACCCCCTCCCCTACCCCTCCACCGATTTCCCCCCTCCGCCGGTCCACCCTCACACTCTAAATCTCCCCCCTCCATCCCCCTCTCCTTCCACACCCGAGTCCACCTAATAACATAGCTTTACTTTTATAGGCGAAAAATTGCACCTCAACCTCAACATAGTTTCAGAGTTATACATTTTTTACGACATGCCCCCCTCCCCTCCTGCAGCCTCCGACTCCCTGATCTTGGCCGTAAGCGGTACTTGCTGTCTTTCTTTTTATCTCGGAAACTTTGAGCGTGATTTACCCGGGGTGTTCTATGCGTGCACGAGGGGCCCACGTTCAAATCCCAGATAAAAATCAAGTTTTTCTTTCTTTTTTTTGTAGTCGTGCGTGTTTGTGGCTTTCTTCGAGGCGACGGGGCGCGGCCTCGCGGTCCGCGCCACGGTCCGCGCGGCGGCAGCGGCGGCAGCGGCACTAAACGTCAGCGGGTGACGTGTTTAGAGGATCGTTACACGTCGCACCAAATTACGGATCAAGTGGCCAATTTTTGTGGGGCGAATATTTTTATTATTTTGACCAATGCCCGCCGTGCGCGGATGCCGGCCGACGCTTGCTCTGGAAGTTGGCGTTATGTGCTCCTGGAACGGTGTCTGCAGAGAGAGGGAGAGAGAGAGAGAGAGAGAGAGAGAGAGAGAGAGAGAGAGAGAGGCGCGCGCACACAAACACAGACACACACACACACACTCGCACACACGACATGATTGGCAGGCGCTCCTCCGCTATCCAAATCAGAGGCCGGCCAACACAATATCCACCATAAAACCCTGGCCAGGCGTGCGGGCCGCTCTCCTAGCCAACGGCGCGGCGGCGCGGCGGCGCGGCTCCCTGTGGCTGGAGGCACAAACACGCGGCAACACGCACGCGCGGCCTAACCGCCGGCTACCGGCGGCCCCGCCGCGGCCCCGTGCCGGCGCCAGCGCGTTCGAACACGTACACTGTCGGAGAGACGCCGGCGAGACGCCGCCACCGTGGTGGCGGAACGGAACGCGCGGGACGCGACTCAGCAGGAGCGGAGCCAGCGAGGGAAGTCCACCTTGAAGGCAGGCAAACAGTGGCACTGGGCCCCTGTGGGTGGGCAACTTTTGACACACCCACACACACACTGAACCCGTCCCTGGATCCGCCCCCTGAGACTTGGGTGTTTTCGCAAGCCGTCTGCGACCACAACTGCCTGTTTTTGCTTATCGCGGGAAGCCAGATAGCAACACAGTTTTTGGCCGCTTCCCAAAACAATACATTTTTAAAGACTCTCTCGCGCTTTCTCGGGCTCACTGCGAAAAAGTCGACTGAATTTCAGAAGGGTTTCAGTTATGTCGACTGTAAGCTGAATGGGCCTTGGTCGGTTTAACATCACTAGGAATGTCAACTGAATTTGAGTCGATTCCATTGTAACTTTTTCCGCAGTGCACCTGGTTTCTAAAATGATGCGCATGATGGACAGGAAGCCAAAATGGTGGAGTACGCGGCCCTTTCGGCCCCGTCTCACCTACAGTGTACACACCAGTGGCTACCGGGGGGACGGGGGGGGGGGGGGGTATTGGCCGAGCAATGCGCCGGCCGCGCCGGGCAGCGCCGCACCGCGCCTGTAGAGTGTAGAGGAAAATTGTCCTCATTTATTCCCTATCGTTGGCTCCGATGCGCCGCGTGTATACCTACACTGCGCACAGTGGGCCAGGAGACCGGTGGAGGCGGCCAAAACTCTAGACGCGTTTTGAGCTCCAGAGTCAATAAACAGGACTCGAACCGAACGTGTGACCCCCGCCAATGGATTCCTCGCTCGAAGAGCAATCCATCGGTGGGGTCACACGTTCGGTTCGCGTCCCATTTAGTGCCCTGGCGATAGGCCGCCAGGCGGTTGCCTACCCGGCCCGGCGGACTGGGGCGAGGCAGACTTTGGCCCGCGCTCTGCAGACTGCTTCCGCAACGGAGTCGCTCCGTCTCTGTCGCCCCCACGGGGCGGGCCGCGGGCGTGCGAGAGAGACGGAGCGACGGCTGTTGGCTCGGCAGGTGGCGGTCTACATGTGGTGGCCCCGCGACCTCCGCGGTGGCAAGGCGGTGAGGCGGCAAGGCGATATCGGCTACCTGGGCTTTGTTAGTACATTATACATGCGCTGCCTGCCGGCCCCCGAGACCCACAAGACCCGCGAGACCGCCACCAACCGCCACCGGGGCCGTCCCGGAACCGCGTGACGTGGCGGCGTGCTGCGTTCGGCCGCCCGATGCAAACAGTTCAACAAAAAATATAATTTAAAAATATAATTCAAATGATTATGAAACTTTTTTGTTGTAAGTTAGATCGGATTTTGCGTAGCTTAGATTCACAGCAACGTGCAGTTGAAACGGAAAGTCGAGATGGGGTCTGAACGTCGAAGCTTCCAACGCGTTGGATAACAAAATCATGCAAAAATTGAAACGAACCCTTTTTCCCCATCTCCATTGCCTTCCTTTTTCCGTAGGACAGCCGGCGTAAAATGCAAGTGTAGGCTGCGCTACGCTACACTAGGAGGCCCGTGCGTGCCGACGCGCCGCGGCGGGGACCGTGCCTTGCAACAGAGCCCCGGGGCCCGGCCGGCCCGGCCGAGCCGCATGCGTCTCATGTTTTTATTTGCTCGATGCGCTCCGAGTGGTTTATTCGAAGGGTTTCGCAGGGCGTTATTTTACGGCAAAAGGGAGTGACTGAGTGCCTGGAAACGATTCGTGGAGACCTCCTCCCCGACGTCCCCCTCCCCCCCTCCCCCTCCACCGCCGCCCACTCCCAGCAACGTCCAGCAGAGGGCGAATTTTCACACTCCGCCAGCACTCCGCGCTCCGTCACCGTCCGTCCATCCGTGTCGCGCACACTGTGACTCGGCTTCGTTCACGCCCAAGTTACTAGCATTGCTGTTGTTGTTTTCTTGGCGGTGCACCACTTTGAACAACAACAACAGGCGCAGCGTGCAACATAACCAAAAAGCAGTGGTTACGAGGCGCAATTACCCAAGAGAAATGGCCGCCTCGCCTCCTGCTTTTATTTTTCCAATTCCCGTCAAGAAATATTGGTTTTTGATAAAGGCTGTGCAGTTTGTTGCAGTTTGGTAAGGCTTGTCGTGAGACGTAACGGTCCGCCGGCGCGTTGCACTTTTTATTTTATTTTTGATTTTAGTTTTATTATTTTTCAGGCCGGGCGGTTGGGCGCAATTTGAGGGATTTCGCAAGCGGACCGACCAACCCGTTGTTGCAGTTGGCGCCACTGGAACGACGTGTGCGATGCGCCGCTCCTTTCGACGGCCTGTAGAATTATCGTAAAAATGCCGTTGGAGTGTGTGGCCAGCCTGATTCCGAGAGCCGCACAGGTGCGAGAGAGACAGCAAGGGCTGCAGCGGGGCGCAGGGCGGCCACACAGTGCACAGTGCCCATGGGCCAGAAGACCGGCGCAAGCGGCTGAAACTCCGAACGCGTTTTGAGCTCCAGAGTCGCTAAGCACTGCTTAGTAAGCAGGACTCGAACCGAACGTGTGACCCCACCAATGGATTCCTCGTTCTGAGAGCAATCCATTGGTGGAGCCACACGCTCGGTTCGAGTCCCATTTGGCCGCCAGGCCGGTGGTCCCGAAGTGCCCCGAAGTGCGTCATGCTGGCCCCGGCGGCCCTCCCGGCCCTTGCCCCCGCCCGCATTAGCATGGCGCGGTCAGGCCTCGGGCCAGGCCGTCGGACTCACCTAGCATCTTGCTGAGGTCGGCGTTGTGCAGGTCGGGGTTCTCGTCGGCCAGCTTCTTCCGCTCCACCTTGGCCCACACCATGAAGGCGTTCATGGGCCTCCGGATGCGCTGCTCCTTGAGGGTCTTGTTGGAGAGCTGCGCGTGCGGCGGCAGCTGCGGCATCACTTGCGGGTGGTACATCCAGTGCAGGTCGGAGCCCGGCATCAGCTGCGGCGCCATGCCCAGGTCGCCGTCGAGGGGCGAGTCCATGGCGCCGTAGCCGCCGAGCGAGCCGGCCAGCGCGCCGCCCATGTCGTCCATCATCCTGAAACACACAGGGCGCCGTCAGCGACATGGAGGACCACGTGGAGGTTGCTACCCATTTTCATCACAGGTGCATTACCGAACGTGTGACCCCACCGAGGGATTGCTCTCCGAACGAGGAATCCATTGGTGGGGTCTCACGTTCGGTTCGAGTCCGGAGAATTTTGGCCACCTCCAACGGTCTTTTGGCCCACTGTCTAAGGTGAACGCCCTTGTGGGTGACCGAGCAGGCCGAGGCGGCCGTCTTGCAGTTCGGCATTGCGAAGGCCAAGCGGTGGCGCCTTCCTTAAAGGGACGCCCAAATCACCACCGTCTGGTGCATCGCCGTCCCCCCCCCCCCTCCTCCCCGGCGGCGCGGAATGCCTCGGTAAACGCATGGCCTTTGCCCCTGGTGCACTGCCAGTGCACTGCCAGCGTTGGAGTCTCGCCTAGACTCTCGTCTAGCCGAGCCGGCCGGCGGCGCGTTCGGAAACGGTGCCCCGAAACCACCACCGGGACATCACTATAAAACAATCTCGAAACGATCTTGGAAAGGCGCGGAAAACGGCGCGTTTGAAATTCGCGCCACTCGGCACGCGGCGCGGCCGGCGCGGCGGGGCGGCCCGGCGAGAGGCTAGCCGGCCTATGTCGGCATGTCGCTGTAAATTTGAGGCGAGTATTTACGATCGGACGGCGCGGCGGCCGGGCAGAGTGAGTGAGTGAGCGCGTGAGTGAGCGAGTGCGAGTACGTCGGGTACCTCCCATCCGCTGGCAGGCTAGGAAGGGCGCGCGGAGGGCTATGTTCCGAGCGGCGGGCCGCCCCGCCCCGCCCCGCCCCGCCCCGCCTCCACGCCGACACAGGTTTGCAACATTCTGCAGAGCAAAGTAGTAGTTTGGCACCCCCGGCGCGGTGCGCGCGGTGCCGCTCCATTCCCGACGCGTCTGCGGCGTCATCGCAGAGAGGAACGAGAAGAAGGCGAAGAAGACCGCCTCGGAAGAAGATTCGCCTTTCGCTGTCGACAGCGTGGCGGGAAAATAAAAACCAAACGCCTCTCTCCTAAAATATTTTCAGGTTAAATCCACTAAAATTTGGTTGTGCCATGCCATTTCGGACTAAAATTTAATCAGGAAAACTGAAATCAGTGGGTAGACTTGGGCCCATATTTTGGAGAAGCTGACATCCTTTTTGAAATATTTTGTAGACCAGTAATTTTTGGTTATGTCTGCGGTGGCCCAGGTGGCCGCTGCAGTGGCAGCGATCTGTATTGGCACAAAGAAGCGAGGCCCAACGCGAATGCGCGTAACTGAGGCCTTCGGAAACGGCCCTAACTGGCCGGCCGGTCGCCTGATAGCGGCTGCAGGTGAACAACCCGATATCGGCAGCGAGGCTATCCTTGCCGGCCGAAGCTCGCCGAAGCTTCGAAGGTCGCGGTGTGCACCGAGCTTGCATTCTCATTGGCTCAACGTACACTGTTTGTGTCCCCCTCCCACTCCCTCCGCGGCCCTCTGCCTTTCTCTCTCGCACGCCTCGTTCGATGACGCCACCTCAATGAGCGCTATCGCGGCCCAAAATATGACCACATGTGACCGCACTGTTTTGTCAGTCACTGCGCCGTCCGTGGCGCGGTGGACCAGACGACGGGCGGACACAAAGACAGACAGACAGACGGACACACCCTGGCAGTGTGTGCAGCAGGTGACATTTGGAAACGGTGCGTTCGATTTCAATTGCCTTGGCTTCCCGGTCGCTTCCCGGCGGGCCCCGCCCATGCGAGAGAGAGAGAGAGGAGAGAGAGAGAGAGAGAGAGAGAGAGAGGGAGAGAGAGAGAGAGGAGAGGAGAGAGAGAGAGAGGAGAGAGAGAGAGAGAGAGAGAGAGAGAGAGAGAGGAGGAGAGAGAGAGAGAGAGAGAGACGTAGAGGAGAAGAGGGAGAAACATAGAAAGGCAGCAGCGTGTGAGAGCCAGTGGTGACCGATAGCGCGATAAGACTGTACTGACCCAGGCAGTGTGTCAGTAAACAGAATCATAATATTGGCAAGTCACAAATGCGAGAGCCAAACTCTCTCATCACTGACACACCCCTCCGCTAAGACTGGCAGTAAGTAGAACATCCCGTCAACAACAACAACTATAAACACCTACAGCAGCAACAACAACAGCAACAGCTTCAGCAGCGTCGCTGACACTGACGTCCCACGTCTGGCGTTGTTCCACTGGACGCTCACGGTAATAGCGACCCCGCGACCCCCGTCCCTGTCTCTGCCTCTCCCCCCCCTCCCCCCTCTCTCCCTTTTGCTGCCCTCAGAGAGAAAACATTCAAATAGAACTGGTGCACCTGATTACATGGCCTCCTCCTCTAGGTGCCTCTCCACTGTATCGCAGCCGAGTCATGCGCTGACCGAGCGTAATAACAATTCGGATTTCCCGGAAAATGCCAGCGGGAAGAAAAACAACTACAGCTGTCAGCGGCGAAGGAAAATGTAAAGGGATGACCATCAAACAGAGAGATGAAAATAATTTCCTGACATGGTTCCACGCCCTGCAAAATACAGTTACATCCGACTTAATCAGTCGATCAGTTAAAGTTTTTCGGCTGAACCCTAGCGAAGAGTTTATTGAAGTTGCAGTCGCTCCAGAGTCACTAAATGGGACTCGAACCGAATGTGTGACGCCACCAATGGAATCCTCGTTCGGAGAGCATTGCATTGGCGGGGTCACACGTTCGGTTCGAGTCCCATTTAGCGACTCTAGAGCTGAAAACGCGTGTAGAGTTTTGGCCGCCTCCACCGACTTTCTGGCAGATCCACTGTGGGGCCCTCCTGGATACAGAAGAAGACACGCGAGCCGCACGCGGGGTGAAGCAAGACACTGTTTTTGAACCAGTCTCGGCGAAATGCCGCGGGTTGTTGCAAAACATGTCCACGTTGGCGCTTATCTGCGTGCTTCGGGCTTTTTGTCAACATGTGCCGCGGTTTTTGAAGGGAAGGCGAGGCTGCCGTCTCACGGCCTGTTGAGTCCGGAGCGGTGCGTGCCACGGAAGGGGACCTTGCTCAGCCTAACTACTCCACTCTCGTTATATCCTAGGGAAGGACTCGAATCTAACTTGGAAGGGTACCGGTGGATTGCTCGTTCGGTGGGCAATCCATTGGTGGGTCACACGTTCGATTCGAGTCATATTTCAGGAAACGGCGCAGTTGAAAACGTGCGTGAGGTCCAGCAGTTGACGTCACGCGCAAGAGCAGACACTGCCCGTCAGACTGCGCGGCGTTGCGCATCAGCCGCTGCACTGCGAGACCAGCCAAGGCCCTGCCTGGAGGACTGGGGCCTTACCTGGGGGATCGACGGTCCTTTGGAGGGGCCTTGGAGACACCATCCAGATAATTCTACTATCGCGGGGCCGGGCCGCGCTGGGCCGCGCTGGGCCGCGCTGGGCCAAGCCTCAAGGCGGCAACACGAGGCAGCCGTGCCAAAACACGAGACACATCAATTATGCCGATTAGATAACGAGGACCCCCTGACACGCTGTTGTTGAAGAGAGAAAGGAACAGGGACCAGGTTCGACACCCCGCCAGGGGTCAACTCGTCTAGACGAACCGGGACGACAGTGTCACCAGGTTTGGGAAACTTTTGTCTTCACGCTCTCGTCCAGCTGATAATGTTCTCATCGTTTTGCTGAATTGGGCCTGTGGCCCAATCTCACACATGTCAGGCAGACGAAAAAACTGGAGAGGGAGATTTGACTCGATTCTTCTTCAATCGCTTATCTCTTCCCCGGACGAGGAAAAACAAAAGTGTCATAATTTTTTGCAGCTACGTATTTATTTTTTCACGCAGACGGGTGGCAACCCACACACTCCGTGCGACACTTTTTGGACTTTCCCTCGGCGGCTCCAGCGGAGAAAGCACGCGCGCGTGGCGTGACGTGACGTCACGTGACACTCACGTGACGCGTCCGTGACATCAGAATCTCGGAATAAACCGTCGTTAAACGCGACGACGATAAAACGCGTGAAAAAGGCGCGCGGAAATGAAGGAAGGCGCAGCGGCTTTTAGCGTTCCAATCCAATTTCCGTGCAGTCGCGCAAATCGCAAATCCGACCGCTCTGACCGCGAGGCATTTTTCGCGCCGCTTTACGGACAGGCGCCGCGGCGCCGCGGCGGGCCGCTTCCGGGGTGCGTCGCGCTGTCTCTGTCGCGCTCGCGGCCCGGCCCGTCGGCGTGCGAGGGAGAAGGGCGGCGCTCCGCGGACGACGCGGCGGCGGCGCGTGGCTGCTGGCGCTGCTGGCCGCGGCTCTGGCGGGGTTTGGCGGCCGGCCAGCCCCCCTCCCCCTCAGTGCCCGCGATTTATGCGGCTCATTTACCTGCATCTAAAGGGAGCTGTCGCGTCTCTTTTTCATGCTTCAGGAGATGCGTGAACATCCAAGTGAGCAGTCGGCTACAGGTGTGGGGAGGGCCGAGGGCACGCCACTGCAAGCAGACGGTCGCCACGCCAGTGTGCCCGCCCGGCCCGCGGACTGCTACTTTTATTTTGGTCAGATTGCTGGCGATTTATGTCCCGGCCGCCTAGACGACCCTCGGCACGACCACTGCGCTGTCTTAGGCCAGATCCCCCCAGTAATGCCTTTGAACATGATGTTGATTTGGATTTATGGGACTTCCCTGCCGAGGGGGTGGGGGCAGCTGTCACCCCTCCCCCTTGCTACCCTTCTACCTTTCTCCGAGCCCCCCCCCCCTTCTGGCCCGCCGGTTGGCGGGGGGTGGCGGGGGCGGCGACGAAATGCAGACAGTAAATGATCTTGGCAGCTTCTATTACGAAGCTTGGTGGTCGGCCGCGCGCGGCTCGGCTCGGCTCGGCACGGCCAGTTGCATCTCCGTCTAAATGAGCTTGCTCGCGGAAGGCAGTTTACAAATGCGCGGCGACGACGGTCTAGACCACTTTTCCGCCAGCACTACCACCACCACTCCCAAATCCCACCCGCTGATTGTCACATTTCTCATTTTGTCTTGATTTTTTTTTTTTGCC